GACTTGATGATCTTCTCAGGTCCCGTCCCACCCTACACACTATGAAACTATGAAACAGGCTGTGTTAAAATGTTTCTGTGTGAACTCCAGTCCTACTAGCAGAAATAGGTGGGAAAGGATGGAGAAGATACAGTGAACTCTACCTAGCAAAGGGACACTTGGCACAGGCTGTTCAAAGACCACCCTAGAAGGGGAGTAGACAGGGATAACTAAGAGGACAGATACCTAACCAGACCTAGAGACAGCAACGATGACAGCAGCAATGGAAGCAACAGCAATAGTGACAATGACAGTGACATCGTTGAGGGAACTGAGAATGTAAACCCCAAAATTGGGGCCAGAAGTTAGAGACTGCGATTGGGTTTTGGAAAGGAGTGTGGATGGGTGTGTGGGAGCATGGGTCCATGGGTCTGTTTATTGTAACAAGTATGCGGGCTTTAAATGTGGTTTATGGTGTGTGAAGAACAGCTTTTGCTTGATACTGAATATATATATATATTATAAATCTGCTGTGATTGGCAGTTACAGCTAGTGAGAAGTTCAAAGTGAGAGAGAGAGAGAAAGGGAAAGGGTCTCTCTATCCCTTCTCTCTCTCTCTCTCTCTCTTTGTCTTTCACTCACTGCAACCCCATGGCTTGCTGTGATTGGCTTACACACCCTCTCTCTTTTGCTTACTCTTCCTCTCTCTCTGTCATTGGAACCAGCTGTATTTGCCATATTTTGTTTTGTGTGTGTGTAGCAACCGGGTCAGATATTGTAATGGGTCCAGGTGGCCAGTGGGTCTTTGTACAGGTGCATTCGTTGCACAGGTGCAATTTTTCTAACAGGTCATGGTTTTTCTTTGTGGAGTGATACTCAGAGTGTAGATATATATAACCTCATAGATAGATAGATAGATAGATAGATATTCCTCCCTGAAAAAAATTGCCAATCACAACATGCCAAAAGATCAAGGCAAGTGAGAGAGAGAGAGCATGTGAGCCAATCACAGCAACTGAGAATGGTGAGGGGAAGGACAGAGAAATGGGTGGTTGCTGTCAATCTCTTTCTTTCTCCCCTTCTCTCCATCTCTTGCACCCCATGACCCCCTAGCTTGCTGTGATTGGCTAACATGCTCTCTCTTTTTCACTGTAACCAGCTCTGATTGGCCAATCACAGCTAGCAAGGAGGTCAAGGTAAGAGAGAGAGAGACAGAGAGAGAAAGAGAAAGAGAAAGGCAGAGAGAGAGAGAGCTCTCTAGGGCATCTCAGAGCTGTGCATGTTACAAAAGATACTAGTCCTGACAGTGCTGCTGCTTCCAGCACGTGCTAACTTCAGCAATGACTTCACATTCCTTACCAAATTGTAATGTGTAAGCACACCCTAAACTTAGGGCATGCTGTCTTGCTTTAGAAACCGGGGAGTATCAGGTGCTAGATTAGGACTGTAAGAGCATCTAGGAAGAAGTGAAAGCAGGCAGGGAGCAGGGACAGGGTACATCTAGCCATACAGAGATGCAAGCTGGAAGGAAACCCCAAGAGCTACTTTGTGTAGAAGAATACCCACATTCTGCCCTGTGGACAAACAGGTTTCTAGACTCATAATAGGAGAACGCACGTGCCCTCAGAGAGCAACAGAATATCGCTTCCATTTTGCACATCCACATAACCTTTTTGGGTCCCAGATAATTAGGCATCTAAGGTAAATAAAATAATTCCATGCTTAAACACCCAGGAAGGGACTAGAATGCCACCATTACACAGCGACATGTGGAGCTGGATTTGGTGCCTGCCGATGTTCTGTAATGAAGAATTAAAATGGAGCTTTTATCACAGTAAGATTAGTACAACTATAAAAGAATGTTAAACAACATGTTGCACATAGGTATCTAAATCAATAAATCAAGGAATCATAGAAAAATAGAATGGGAAGGGACCTCAGGAGGTCATCTAGTCCAACCCTCTGCTTAAAGTAGGACCATCCCTAACTATATCATCCCAGCCAAGGCTCTGTCTACCCAGGTCTTCAAAACCTCCAAGGATGGAAAGTCCATAACTGCTATGGGTAGCCTGTTCCAGTGCTTCACTACCCTCCTAGTGAGGAAGTATTTTTCTAATATCTAACTAAAACTTCCCTCGCTACAATTTGAGACCATTGTTCCTTGACTGAGAACCACTGAGAACAATCTAGCTCCATCCGCTTTGGAAGCACCTTTCAAGTGGTTAAAGGTTCTTATTAAATCCCACCTCAGTCTTCTCTTCTCCAAATTAAATAAGCCCAGTTCCCTCAGCCTCTCCTCATAAATCATGCTCCCCAGCCCTCTAACCATTTGTAGTTACAAACTACAAACTATTTGGTAGTTACTAAAACAGATGCATGTAGCAGCCTTTAATTTTAAAATAATTTTGTTAAAAAACTACCAACTGATGATGGAAAATAATTTAAGTTTAATAATTTAATTCCCCATATTTAAATATGAAATCCAAATGCTCTGTGTATATGTATATGTGTCTATACACACACATACACTAATATCTATATATACATGCAGAGCATGGGGGGGGGAAGAGAGAGAGTTACATTGCAGAGTTAAGCATGAAAACATTAGGAAATACTGAAGTCTTATCCATATCTTAAATAAACATGGAATTAGTTATTTACTTAATAGTGTTACTAATATGCACACCTCAGCAAAGTGGAGATAATGACTTCAGAGATATCTCAGGGATCTTGCTCTCCCAAAAGATTTCCCAAGTTAATGCTATAGCTGTATATAAATAAATATGAAAACAGCATGCCTTTCAGCAAATCAGGACATTCAGTAGCTCAGTATAGCTAGATAAAATAAAATATCTGATCAAAGTATTTAGTTCAAATAACCAAACATTTCTTGAAATCTAGAAATGAATTTCCTGGACGTTGGACTATACATTCTCTATTAAAAATAACACAGGATTAACTCTAAATCTCTGGCAACTATATGGTATGTTAATCTCTATTTCTGGATGTTATAATAGGGGGAGGCAGAATCTTTTGTGTCATGCAATGCAATTTCATTTTTCCTATTCCATTGATCTTCCCACCCCACAACTGTTTTCTTTAACTCACTCTTGAATCTATGGGTGGCTGGAACATTAGATACTTTCCATCTCATGTTTTCCTGATTGCTGAGAATTTTAGAAGTTTTTTCCTTTTGTCTGAGCCTGAACCTTTTTCTCCCTTACTTGTAGTCTAAACTTTCTTGTCCTTCTGATTTCCAAGGCAGAGAGCAACTCTCCATCCTCCAGCTTTATTACTCCACTGAAGCTGATTATTATGGTTTTGTCCTTCTGTCCCTCTGTTCTTCTGTAGGTTGCACATGACTTTTGTGGGTTTTTTGTTTGTTTGGGGTATTTTTTTTTTTTAATGATCTGTCCTTACATCTTATCCTTAATGTCTTACATTTATCTATGTTTCTGGGGGGGAGGGGGGGGGGGGGTGTTGGTTTTGTTGGGGCTTCTAGGAAAGAAGAGTTCAGAATCTGTCAATAAGAAAATCCCCACTAATTAGAGGATAAACCATAAGCCCTAGCTCCAGGAACTTCTAGCTTTTCCACATTGAAGGCCTTAGGGACAGGATTACCCAGGAATTCTCTGCATGTCTGCACAGGTTGGCTTTTACTGTGGCTGTTACAGAGTAAAAAACTCACACTGCTCTGTCTCAATTGTGCAGATCTGAATTTATTTAGTTGTCTGTAGCTTATTTTAAGATGCTGTCAGTTTTATTCTGGGGGGTGGGAGGCATAAGAGGTAGACTGCATTGAAATATTTCTAAAATACCCTTGGTATTTCCTTAGCTAAAAGCATTTCCTATAAAAATGTCAGTGCTAAAAATCCAGTTGAGCTCTTTTATTGATCTAAGGTATTTATACAGTTCTGATTACCACAGTGTCAGATCAGGTCAGAGTCTTTAAAACAATAATATCAACTCAGATACTCACAATTCTATGGGTTTATTTATTTAATTAATTTAGTCATCTGGTTCATCCTATTTGTGAGGGGAGTTTCAGTCCTCATTTTTAATTTTTGGGTGATCATATAGAAAGGCAATAATAAATAGGAGAAACTGAATACTGTGTTTTTATCATCTACTTATGAGTAGCTTCATAAATGCAGAGAACCTTGTATGTCAATAGCTGCTGTCTGTGTACCAGTCTAATAGGCACAGAATTGAACACTTGAAGTATCAGGTTTACAAATCCACCTGGGGGATATGGATGCACAGATCTTGTTACAGGAAAATGTGCATATGAATCAAGCAACAAATTTAGGGAAATGAGCCTGAATGCATAGCTAAGAAATATGCAACAGTAAAGTGTGGACTGTTTATTCACTGAGCAATTGTTTTCTAAAACAGAATTGGTGGAAAGCGCACAGAGCAGCCTTGTCCTCCAGTGATTAGAAAATACACTTCTGCATCAAAAGATGCAGGATGTCATTTTGCCTTCCACTGGTCCCCTTGATATATCTACATAGATATGTTACTTTGGCTTCACCGTTTCTGGACTTGCCTATATGTCACTGAGACATATACCAAGAATCTCCAAGCTAAGAAGCTTTTGGATTGGTTCCCAGTCAAACTGGTAGAGACCAAACCATGGGAAAAAAATAAAATGTGGGATGAGCATTTGAGGTCTATATCCTTTCATATAATCTTGCCTACATTCACGTGTAACGGTTGCTGGTTCCAGCCTTAGTTGAAACACAGCTGAGGCTGTAACCCATATCCTCAGCCATGCAAACACATGCTCAAAATGCAGATAAGGATGTACTTGAAGTTTTTGTAGATCATGGGAGAGTTGGGACAAAATACACATAGAAGCACAGAATAAGAGGGAAGTATAAGGCCATACCTTTTCTGATTGTATAAAAGCTCCTTATGGCCTGTTTTTGGGAGGGCCAATTTGCCCTATCCTGTCACAGGCATTTTACATTCATTCTTGATTGTTATGTTATCTTGTCCCCAGCAGGAAAGTTTAAATAATGTCTGGAGCAAATGATACCACACTAAAAAAATTCATTCTCCTGGGACTAACAGATTGTCTTGAGCTACAGGCCCACCTTTTTGCAATGTTCCTGGTGATCTACATTATTACCTTGGTATGGAATCTTGGGATGATCATGCTAATCAAGATCAGTCCCCAACTCCACACCCCCATGTACTTCTTCCTCAGCAACTTGTCCTTTGTGGATACTTGCAGCACCTCAGTCATCACCCCCAAGATGCTGGCAACTTTCTACTCTGATGGGAAAAGCATTACTTTCTTTGGGTGCATGGTACAGCAACTGCTCTACTCAGTCTTTGTGTCCGTTGAGGCCTTTCTGTTGGCAGTGATGGCCTATGATCGCTATGTAGCTGTTTGCAATCCCCTACTCTATAGCACTGTGATGTCCCATATGGTTTGCCTGAGGCTTGTTGTTGGTTCCTACACTGTTGCCTTCACCAGTGCCATTGTACAAGTCAGCTGCACCTTCAGTTTATCATTCTGTGGCTCCAACAGAATCCCTCATTTTTTCTGCGACATACACCCTCTGTTGAAAATCTCTTGCACTGACACCCACATCAATGAGATTGTGCTGTTTGTTTTTACCTGTATTGTTGGTTTACCGACTTCACTAGAAATTTTTATTTCCTATGCTTACATCCTCTGCACCATTTTAAAAATCCCCTCTGCCAAGGGTAGAAACAAAGCTTTTTCTACTTGTGCCTCCCACCTGATGGCTGTCACAGTATTCTATGGGAGTACTTTGTTCATATATTTGCGGATAACACCCAGCTATTCTCTGGACCAGAACAAGGTGGCCTCTGTGTTCTATACAGTGATGATCCCCATGCTGAACCCCCTGATCTACAGCCTGAGGAACAAGGACGTGAAGGATGCTATCAGGAAAGCCATAAGAAGGAGTAGTTATTTGTAAATGTAACTGTATTAATGTATGTGTTTTCCAAAATTCAATAGGAATTTGTAGTTCATGGATAATAGGTCATATGTCCAAAGTACAGGAACACAGCTAGTTGATAAAACAACTTGTTTAGTCTAGAAGGGAGAAGACGGAAGTAGGGAATATGGAAAGAACTGTTATGAAGACATCACTAATTAACTGTTTTCCCCATTTCCACTAGGAAAAAAAGAGCAGTTTAACTGGCAGCAAAAAGGTTGTGCATTAGGAAAAGTTCTCCAACTGTAAGGATGTTAAATACTGGAAAAGACTACTGATGGATGTTGTAGAATCTTCTTCAGAGGAGGTTTTTTTAAGAACAGGTCAGACAAATATCTCTTGAGGCTGACCTAGATATACTTGATCCCGTATCAGTGAAGAGAGTTGGACTAGATGATCCCCTGTGGCCTCCGTGAGTTCTGTACTTCTATGATGTCATACCTAGGAATTACCCCTTCTAGAATATAATACAAGATGGTGCTGTACAGGTTGGTTTTATTAGCTGAATTCTTCTAAGTGAAGAATTCAACCCTATAAAAGTGACTCTCTGACATCTTCAACAGCATCATAAAATTCAATTGAACTCTTAATAGGGATGTTTTATCTTTCTTTCCCAGTGTGTAATACCTTATCTTGCTTCATAGTTATTTTCCTTGTTTATTGCTTCTGAATATTTTCCCATCAGATGTCTCTTCCCTATCACAGCACCATTTGTAAGCACCATCCTTGTCTGTTATAGGTAGGTCATTTGTATGTAAAGGGTTATTATTTGAGTCAGATATTGCTGTTTGACTGAACTCCAAAATTAATTTTCATATAGCCTCTATTATTCCATTCTAAGTATTATACATTTGTTTTTAATTTATTTGTATATATGTCCATAATTTTATATATTATACTGTAGATAAATATGCAGTCAAAGTTACTAAGTAGTTATTCAATACTTGCTTACCAATAGACTTCCATAGTGGCTCAAGTGAATATTCACCCTAGGATCCTGAAAGAGATTAGATCTGAAATTGCTGAACTCCTAACTGTAGTATGAAATGTATTGCTAAGAACACCTTCCATACCACAGGACTGGAGGGTTATCAATGTGACTCCCACTTGTAAAAAGGGCTCTAGAGGGGACCCAGGGAACTACAGACTGGTGAGTCTAACTTTTGTTTCTGGAAAACTGGTAAAAACAATAACAGATAACTAATTGTTCAGCTCATGGATGAACAAGCCTTGCTGGAGAGGAATCAGCATGGTCTTGTCAAAGGTAAATCATGCCTCACCAACCTACTGGAGTTCTTTGAGGCTATCAATAAGCAGGTGGATCAAATGATCCAGTTGACATAGTTTATCTGGGCTTCCAAAAAGGCTTTGCCAAGGTACCCCATCAAAGACTTTTAATGAAGTGAGCTAATCATGGGTCCACTGTAGAAATTGGGTTAAGGATAGAAAACAAAGACTGAGTATAAATGGTCAATTTTCAGAATGGAAAGAAGTAAACAGTGGGTTGGTTCTCCCAGTGACCTGTTCTGGGATCAGTGCTGTTTAATATGTTCATGAAGGGGGAGAGTAGTGACATTGTCAAATTTGCAGATGGCAAAATTATTTACTGATAAAGACCAAGATGGACAGTGAGGAACTGTGAGGAACTGCAGAAAGATCTGGCATGATTGAGAGGATGGACAGCTAAGTGGCAGATGCAATTCCATGTAGATATGTGTAAAGTGTAAAGTAATGCACATAAAAAAAAAAAAATTCAAACTATACCTATTCTATGATGGGCTCTACCTAAGCTATTACCACACAGGAAAGAGATTTGAGAGTCATTATGGGCAGGTCAATTGAAAACATCAACTCCATATGAGGAAAGATGAAAGAGGCTGGGCCTATTCAGTTTAGAAAAGAGAGGCTTGGGGGCAGGGGCATGGTAAAGAGAAAGTAATAGGAATATATTGTTTATCTCTCTCAATACAAGAACTAGGGGTTCATATGAAAATGAAACTTATAGGTAGTAAATTTAGAACTATTAAAAGAACGTTCTTTTTTCACACAGCATGTAATTAAAGTGTGGAACTCATTGCCACAAGATGTTGTGGAAGCTGATAGTTTAACTGGAATCAAAAAGGGATTGGGCAAATTCTTGGAGGAAAGACACATCAGTAGCTATTGAGCATGGAGATTAGAGGTACAGTCTCTGAATCTGAACTTACTTGACCTTTCTAGACCTGGAAGCTGCAAAGAGGAGAGGAGCAGAGGAAAATATGGTCATACCCTACTCCCCTTTTCAGCATCCACTGTCCTCCACTGTGGCCATGTCTACATGAGATTCTGACTGCGCAGTCATTACTGCACAGACATTTACTACTTGTATAAACAAGTACTAAATTACTGTGCAGTAACCTGAGTTACTGCTCAGTAGCACCATCAAACAGCATTTTTATGATGCTGACTTTGCAGTAGCCTGAGACTCCTGTGAAGTAGTATCACATCATAGTTTCTGTCTGTGATGCTACTGTGCAGTAGTCTCGGGCTACTGCACAGTCAGCATCTCATGTAGATGTGGCCACTGTGGCATGAAAATTGGGCAAGATAGACCTACAGTCTGACCCAGTAAATGGCAGTTCTTATGTTCTTTATAGTTACTAATTGTAATGAACAGACTTAACAAGGCTGTTATAAAAAGAAAAAAAATATTTTCATTAAAATAAAACTTGTAAATAATTTGTCTGGAAATGAATCCAACAACCTAGCTGGAAATGTTTCAGTGAATTATGTTTAACTAGTGTGATTAATTATTTATCAAATAATGCAGAGTGCGGACAGATGTAACTAGAAATGTGTCCGAGTGAAATGTTTAAAAAACATATAATTTCTGTCGCTGGGCAGACACACAGCCCCGTCATACCACTTCCTGGTTTGAGTGCTTCAAAATTGCCACATCTGAATGCTGCAGTGTGCTCTCAAGCCAGGGGGTGTAAAAGGGGTCTATGGTGTGACCAGTGGCTTTGCTCTCCTCTCACTGGGCTAGGGGAGTGGAACAGACTGTATGGGATCTCATCAGCCCCAGTCTCCTTGGGGTGGTTGGTCTCCATTCCCTCTGCCTCCACTCTCCCACAGTGCCCCCTCCTCCCTTGAACTGGGAGATTGAAGACCATACAAACACCCCTTGCTAGAACCAAATTCCAGAAGCAGAGACATAGATAGAGATTTGGCCCAGGGCCTTCCAGGACTAAGGTGGAGGGGAGGTGGGGGAAGCAGAGCATCGTACTATGAGATGCTGGAGGACTTTATGGTTCCGTGTCACACTCCATAGAGTGTGTGCACATAACAGAAAACAAAGCTCTACTAAGCAGAACCTCATTCTAACAGGTAAATTTGGAGTCCTTTGGCTATTTTTGGAGTGCTTCGTATAGTGTGCACTTCAGTACTTCTTGCCCTCCTAAGTACTTGAAAAATATTTGCAACAGTGCACAAGATATTAAGAAATTAATCACTGACCATATGGAACAGATTCCTCCTCTTCAGGACCAGACAAACTGTTATATACTAGAAACCTTACTTAGACCACACACTTCGTGTGTCAGGAACCTATTTTTATCAGTATATGTACAGCTCCTAACACAATGGGGTCTTGATCCATGAGACTTCTTGGAGGTACTATGATATAATAGCTAAGGATATGCACACAATTTTGTTTTTGTTTTTTTTAACCATCATTCCTTATATTTCCTTTTTTTATTTTTAATTAGAGAGTGGCTAACATGCACCTACAACATGCAGGCTTATTCACAACAGTTTAAATGCACAACACACACACACACTCAAATACAGCTCCGGTTTTAGGCAAGTATACTACTTAGGCCTGTGCAAAGTAGCTAGTATTCACTTAGGATTCGGATTTGGCCTATTTGGGGGACAGTGATTTGATTCAGTGATTCAAATCACTGTCCTGAATCGATTTGGCTGATTCGGCTTCAGAGATTTGGCTGCTGCTGAATCTCCAAATCTCCAAATCACCCAGGCCCATCCCCTGCCTGCTCTCGCAGCCTGGCAATGGCTGCCCTGCCCTCCCCAGCTCCCGACTCTTTGGGAGAAAAAAGCCCTGGCTCACCGCGTGCTGCCAGGCAGGAGGGGGATTCCCACTGCCCCCCACTGCCCCCCGCTGCATGGGAAACTCTGCATGAGCCCTCCAACCCCCTCCCTCAATCCCCCAGCCCCCCACGGGTTCCCTGACCAGGACAGCTCTGGCCCTTTAAGGGGAAGAAAATGAAAAAAGCCCTGGGACTCATTACTTCTGCCTGCGGGGGGCAATCCCTGCTGCCCCCCCCACTGCCCCATGCTTTCATGAGCCCTCCAAAGTCCTGGTGTTTTCCTCTGGGTTTTTTTTTTTTTTTTCTTAAAAGACCAGAGCTGTCCCAGGCAGGGCACCCGTGGGGGGCATGGGGGTGTGAGCAGGGGGCTCATGCAGAGCCCCCCAAGCAGCATGGGGCAGTGGGAGGCAGCAGGGTTTGCCCCCCGCCCCCACCCACCCAGCAGCACCCAGTGAGCACTGGGGCTTTTTTTTTAAAGGGCCAGGAGCTGGGATGGGTGAGGGCATCCATGGGGAGGGGCTGGGAGAGCGGGGGATGGGGTGGGGGTGGCTGGGAGGGGTACCCCCATGGTCCCCTCCCCCAGCTCCCCTCCCCTGCCCCTAGTACTTACCAGCTTGGAGTCTGGCTGCAGCACCCTGCTGCAGCCACCAGTGACTGCCAGAATCATCAAAGCTCTCCAAATCTTTTCTGAAGATTTGGAGAGCTTTGTATCAATTCGGACCTTTTACTTGGTCCCCTGATTTGATTTGGATCTGAACTGAATCACCACCCAAAGCTTTGCACAGCCCTAGTGCTTATGACCCTAATTTAAGCTATATAAGTGCATTCTTGAACCTTTTACAAAAAATATGGAGGCAGTTGGTTTTTCCACCTTTTAGCCAAATAGCTTAG